AAAAAAAAAAAAAATTAACCAATTCAATAGATATCTATTTAGCTCCATACGTAGGTAATGCTCTGAGGAGGATAAAATCACAGTTCTGTCCCTCAGAGACATATCATGCTGTAGCTGGGATGACATGTAATAGACAACTCTGAATTGGTACAATTTATCCTGGCAACACTTCTTTTCTTCCTGTCTCTGAAAAAGAAGGAATGGAAGCTCACCCTCTTCTTCTTCTGCCTGCACAGCTGGCCCTGCACTGGGTCTTGCTTCCACTCCTGCTCTCATGACTTGTATCTCACACCTTTTATATTTTTAGGGGCTTATGTTATTATAAAAGTTTTGCTCACCATTAGACCCCTGGCATTTTGCTTTGTACCTGGTGCAAAGAATACACTTAATACTTTTCTTAAATGAATAAAGGTAACAAATTTAAAGAGAGAGAGGAAGAGATTTACAAAACATAAGAAATAAGTGTAGCTTAGACCTCCAAATTCTTTAAAAGTGGCAATGCTAAACAATACTATTTTGATGGAATGGTTTTTAATAGTATTATTAAAAGATTTTAGAAGAAACAATGTGAAAACAAGACCTTGATATGTTCATCTCTATCTCTATTTCTACATTATAGTCACTAAAGGAGAGTGATTCTCCTATAAAAAATGACACAGATCCTACCCTCTGATTCACTCCCCACATGTTAGAACGTAGCAAATTTTCCAAAGTTTTTACAACACAAAGGCATAAGCAAAATGGGAAAAAAAAATTACAAGTTTTAAAATTCCCTGAATGGATTCAAATTTTTTTCTCTTTCAAGTTAATAAAACAAGGATAGTCAACTTACTTTATAGGATTGTTGTAACGATAAGATGGATAAAGTGAAATATATTTTATTTTCCCTGCTCAATTACCTGTATTAAAGTAATTTCATGGGCTTTATCTGCCTCTCTTGAAGACTGGAGGACAATACTTTTTGTCTGGTTAATTAAAAAAAAAAAACGAAAAAGAGTATGTCACTAATTGATTTATGTAGTAAATCTTTATTTATGTAGTAAATTTTTGTAGTAAAGCTTTCACCATGCATGGTTTTATTATCTCAATAATTTTGTGAGGAAGGTGCTTTTATGTGCATTTGATGGATAGGAGACAGAGCCTCAGCAAGGGTTAAGTGAATTGTCCAGGGTTATACAACAAACACTTAATAGAAATGATTAAATAAAATAATACTTTATCTGGTATGTTGTAGGTGCTCAATAAAGCATAAGTGTGCATAAGTAATTCAATTATTGAGACCCAGTCGCAATCTTTAGTCCTAATTCTGAAAGTCTTTAATCTTAGTTTTTATGCCTAAAAGGATATTTATCAAAAGAGCCAAGCTCAGGAATATGCCTAAAAAGGTAATCAAGGTAGAACAATAGAAAGTTCATAGGTTTAAGCCATGGTGACTCACTCCTATAATTCTAGCACTCTGGGAGGCTGAGGTGGGAGGATTGCTTGAAGCCAGGAGCTCTATACCAGCCTGAGCAAGAGCAAGACCCCATCTCTGTTTAAGAAAAGGAAGAAAGAAAGAAAGAAGAAAGAAAGAAAGAAAGAAAGAAAGAAAGAAAGAAAGAAAGAAAGAAAGAAAGAGAAACAAAGAAAAAGAAAAAGAAACAAAGAAAGAAAAAGTAAGTTCATAGGCTTAAAGAAGGAATAATTTGGCTTAATGAAGTTTCCCAGGCTAGTTATACTGAATCTTCAAACCCTAACTCTTTCTTCCTTGTTTTAACTGCCTAGATTTATTACCTTGGAGTTTATTAAAACTCACGTATTAGGCAAGAAAGTATATTCTGCGATTGGGAGCCTATTTTGAACTTTTGACTGAAAAGTTCACCCTTTAAATATCATGAACTCTTTCATCACACTTGAAACTCCCAATGACCTTGACAGTGCGCCTCAAAAATCCAGAGTCCAAAGCAAAGGAGAAACGCAAAATTTGGAATCTAGCTCTGGACAAAACTCTTCAGCTCTGCTGCCAGAAATCTAAATAGTTAGAGGGTCAGCAAGTGTTTACCGCATCTAAGGAGCAGAGTGATTTAGGGGAAAGAACCCTCAGTGGAGGCTCTGGTGTTTGAAACGACAAACCAGGGCACATTGCGCTTAGAGGTTTGTTAGTGAATGGAGATTTACAATCAGATAAGATTGGGTGGGAGGAACTAAAGTTAGTTTACAAATTCCCCACAGGGTGGAGTCTGAGCGGTTCTTTGAGTTTCTCACCCTAAGGTCTGACATAAATTGCAAGGAATTCTCTTGAGAGGTTCCTTGAGAGGTGCTGGGAGCTGTGGACCCCATCAGAATCTTAGCAGGTAAGCACTAGGCACTAGGTGTATATTCTGGACACAAAAAGGCACTCAGTGGTTTTTCCAAATGAAGCTTCTCTCGGCTAGAATCCTTGTCATAGCGCTTTAGAGGTTTTATCTGCTGGTTCTTCATTTTTTTCCACATTCTCTTCATAAATAAAAATGCCATGACCTCCCTAAGGCACCTCACCTTTAAAAGCAGGTTATATGAAGAGATCTTTACCAATGTAGTGAAAAGAATTGTTGTCAATAGCACACTGTAGTGCATCGGCTGAACATGGTTACATTTGGCAAATTAAAGTTAATCCTGTAGTTACTTGAATTTAAATGATAAGATGAGATCAAAACCCAGATGAGGGAAAGACATTTTTAAATAGGCTTTAAGTCTGCTGTTTTCTGGTAACTCTAGTTGTCTTACGCTACTTTAACTCATACTAAATATTGTTTAGAGAAGTGAAAATTTCTGTTTCTTGAACAGTTTCTTCCACTTTCATTTTCTGAAACATTTGCCTAAGAATGGAAAGCTGATATATTTTTTCTTTATAATAGAAAGTTTTCTTCTTTCTTTCCTGCTTTTATTTTGTGCAAGATGGGGTGTTATTTAGTAGTAACATCGAAGCAAATGCAATGATTTTATTAATGTTAAGTTCAGCAAGTAATTCACATCCTAGATATTGTTAGGTCCGGAGCTGAGAGGGAGATACACGAAGCCTTAGGTGTAGCAAAATGCTGTTTTATTTTGAGCATCTGGGGGCAGATGGGTGGAGGCCAAAGAGCCTCCACCTCGGGGGAGGGGAAAGCCTTGGGTTTTACAGAGTTTTTCTGGGGGGAGTGGGTAATACCTGCAGAGACAGGGGAGGGGGTAGCTTCGTCCTTATCAGGGGGGTTGGAATGTCACTCTCTAGCTGTCTGTGGTCCTACACCTGTGTGTGGTTGAAGTTAGATTTACAACCTCAGACTCTCAGACTCTGGAGGCTTCTGTGTCACAGGCTTTATGATACTGTCCACATTCCCACCTGACACAAACCTAACAGATACGAACTATGCAGTTGTAGCAGAGAAATGTCATTCATTTCTCAATGATATGCCTAAAGAAGCTTCTTCCTCCGTGTACATATATTTTAAGATTTACTTTTGTTCTTTCTCAATGAAAAGCTACACACTTTCTTTATGTATTTTTAAATTGATTCTAAACTTTGAACTCATAAGTACAATTAGCTCATTTCAGGCATGAAATCTGAAACTGTGTAAAAAATTAACTACTGGGCTCACAGTTATTTAACTACTTAATCTTAGACCAGTGGGTAACTAGGAGATCCTGAATTCAGTGATTTCCATCAAAACAATCAGTTTTTAATTATTATACAAGTTTTAGCTTTAGAGTTATGCATAACTGTCTGAATAGAACTGTGAAAAAACAATTTGAAAATGTCAAAAGCTAAATTGAGGGCACAGTGGCAATTTCCACTGATATTAAAAGACATTATAAAAATATATCTTTTTATCGAGGACTTCATTAATGTCATTTGAGCCTAACCACGATCCTTTGAACGAAGTAAAATTTAACTTTATTTGATGTAACATTGATGCGTAGAGGGGTTAGGTGACTTGCCTGAGACCTCATGGCACATTATGTCCACCTTCTTAATAAAGTTAACACGAAGTATGTGAAATATAAAATTTGAAGTTTTTTTTAACTTGAACTTAATTTGTTCATTTCAAAATATGAGCATGTCAATTTATTTGCAAGTGGTGAACCTAACATGGCATCAAATTATGGCTTGTGAGCACTAATTAATTGTCTTAGCCAGTGTGGTGAATGGAGAATTAAGCAGCAACTAGTATGAGTTAATAAATTAATTGGAGTGAGGGTGTTAGCCTGAGGCTGTGGAGTGGGGTGCACTTACTGCAGAAAGACTACTCCCATCAAGTATTTCACTGTACCCCAGGTGTGAGGGACCCAGTAGCAGAACCAGCCACTTTAACTCTTGCCTGTCTGGGACTGGTTTGGGAAGGATAGATTAAAAAGTGTAAATGGATTTATACATAGCCCGTGGTCCTTTGCAGACTCAGGGTAGGACCGTAGAAAAAAGACAAGGAAAAAATGAATGAGCTGAAGAAACATAAATTTTAAAAATCAGGAAGTAAGAGGCAAGAACAAATAAAGTGATAGATTTAAGTCTCTGAGGGGGAGCTCTGCTTTGCACATTCCATCCACAGCCCTTGCCGAAGACCAGTATCTCAGGCGCGGTTCAATACCAAACAGTACATTCTGTTATCTTTCCATTCCGTTTTGTTTCTACTCTGTCTGTTCCAGGGTTTGGTCTCAGAATGGAGGAAAGTAATTCTGATGCCTCAGGATTGTTACAAGGATTAAATAAAATACTGAAATAAAGAGGCTAATGAATATCTTTTTTTTTTTTAATAGGGAAAGTTGACTTTTGCTCAGAATATGATGGTAGCAAACTAATCTGTATATTTATTTAAGTAACCCGACTTAGAGTTTAAACTCATCTCCAATAAACTCTCAAAGTGCTGATTCCCCAAAGAAGGTCACAAGTATAAAGCAAGCTCTCTTGATTCTGAGTTTCACTAGAAATATTTCTAGAATCATTTCCCGTGTGGTCAAAATGAGGACTAGGTGTTCCTCTAGTCATATGTAATTAATTTTTCCAAATGATTTACCCAGCTATTTTGCTTATTCTCTTAGTCAACTGGCATTTTGGGGAAGTTCTATCTAAAAGAGATTGCTTAGCAACAGGGTGACCACAAAGATAAATTGAACATGATTTAGGCCGCCAGGTAGAGTACAGTTCAGTAGGGTAGAACAGCAACTCTGTGAAGCTACCGTAATTAATAAGTTTGTAGTAAAGACACACTTGATAGCAAGATAGAAAAACATCTCATGGGATTTTAGGAACAGCCCAAACACCTTTTCAGGAGACATAGCTGCTCAATTCCCTGCCCTTGTGTAACTCAGTCATTCTTGCTTGCTGCTGGAATCACTTTCTGCTTTTCATGCTTTAATAATCAGTGGTTCTGTTTGACTCTGAAAAATGAGTCACTCTGACAGTATTCCTCTTAGGTCCTAGCATTTCCTAGCTTCTATGATTCTTTTAAATTCTTGCTCCTGTTTCTAACTGAATGAATAAATATATCTCAAAGCTCAGATTTCTGAAAGAATTTGATTATATGCTTAGCTAAACACCATCACCACTGTTTGGTTAGAGCTGCTACAGCAGGTCATTCACAGATCTTGACAAAACAGTAGATTGTCTTTAGTGGGCAAGTGTCCAGCAGAGGTTTAATCAACTGTAATCAGGCAATAGAGTGGTAGAGGCACAGTCACCTGTGTCTCTACAAGTGGTAGAGCACAGTCATCACCATTCAAAAGACACTTTCCTTCCTCAGAAAGCTGTAAGTAGGAGCCCATTGAGAATCAAGTTGTAAGCATAGCAAGCAAGTTTGATCATTTCCATCCACATATGTGCCTAGATAAATATAAAACCTGGCAGAACGTATTACTTATTATTAAGTAACGCTCATAAATGTGCTCATAAATGTTACAGATGTTCAGAGAAGACTACTTTAAGCTGAGATATCCTAACAGGCCTCATGAAAAAAAGTAACATTTGAGCTAGGGTTTTGAAGGGTGGCTAGAATGTGAACATGTAAAAGGGGAAGCAAAACATCTTAGGTAAAAGGGAGCGGAATACGAAAATCACAGAAATAGAAGATTTTATGAGGAGGATGAATGACACATTAAAATGATGAGATGATGGGATATCGAAAGCATCCTCAGCATCAATGTTGAAATCGTAGACTTTTGTACAAAAGCAGGGATTGGAGAAATTGGGAGACACTACTTGTATCAAACTAAAAAATATGCAATGGTAAAGCTCAGGTATCCTTATCCAGGAATATGAAGGATGGCTCATTAGCAGAGATGATTGGCAAGTGAGAGAGGAAGAGGTCAAATAAGTAGGAAGAATGTTATTTTACTGGCATTGTATAACATTCAGACATGCAACTCTTTGTTGTTTAACATTGTGTGTATTGGTTAGGGTAAAAGAGGGAGGGGGATAGAAGAAAGATAATTGAATTGAATTCTAGAGCTTCATTTCTGTGTTACTTTTTGTTCCCAGGGGTCCCAGGCTTTATGTACAGTCTATGAGTCGAAAATGTTAAACATATCTTATGATCCAATAGTCCCCTAAGACACAGACACAATAGCCAATAGCACAATAGCTTTATATTTCTACCTGGATGTTTAGTACTTTATCCGAAACTTAATATGTCCTCAAAAGATTTCTGATTTCCCTCTTCAAAATATTTCTTCCTTGGATAGTTCATATTTCATCACTTTTCATGTATTTGTTCATATCCCAAAGCTAGTAGTAACCCCCCCTTTCCTGTCCTCACTAGAGATAATCTATCAGCCATATAGATTTTCTTTATTTACCTTTTCTCCAAAATATATCAGAAATCTGCATTCTTCTCTCTACCTTTCTTCTTACCACTGAATTTAATCCACCTTCCTTTCTCTCCCAAACTACTATAATAGCATTAAGTTTTCTCTCTTTCAACTCCTATAATTCATCACAGAGCAAAGTGATTTTTATTTGATATAAAATTGTACCATACTCTTTTTAATTCAAAATTCTCCAATAGTTTCTCATTAAACTTAGAAAATTATCCAAACTCCTTTCCTGCCTTTGAAGCTCTTTGTGATTAACTACTGCCTCTGCCTTTTTCACATGATAGTTTATCATAACTTCCTCCCCCTCTCCCTTTAGTGCATTAGTTGAACAAGCCAAGCCTGTCTCCTTCCCAGGACCTTTGCACTTGCTGTCATGTTCCTCCAGGTTCAGATCATCATGTGGTTCACTCCATAATATGATTTAGAAATGCTTGCGCATGTGTTCCTCAAAGATGAACTTGTTCACCCTAAGATAGCTCTTCCACACCCCAGTGACCCCATCTCATTACTCTGCTGTTTTCTTGTAGCTCTTGAAACTATCTGAAATGACATTATTTTTCCATGATCCCACTAAAAAGTAAACGGTGCAAGAGTTGGCACTTACACACTGTCCTATACACTGCTTCCTGCCAAAGCCAACTGGTAGGTACCTGATGAATATCTGTAGAAAGAGTAAATAAATGGAGGAACATATAAAGGAAGTCAGACTAACTATATGTAAATCAAGCTGGCCTAAGGAAATTTTTTCCCTCTACTAACATTCTTGCTCAATTTCAAAAAACTAAAACTTAGAAGAAATATAAAAACAAACAAACTTGGGTAACATTTAAAAATATGTGATTAAATCTTCATTGTCATTTATCCCCTTCAGAGAGATTAAGTTTCTTTCCAAAAAAGTGGAAAATGTTAAATGATGATTAAACAAAGCACAATGTGATTTCAAGAAACACCACAGGGTCCTGTTTGTTCTAACATGGTACATACGGTGTTGAAAAACAAAGAACTTTCTCATTGTTATCAGCAGCAGGTGCATGAATCTCTCTGGTATTCGTATAGCAAAAATACTAATATTTAAAGTTACCTTTTTCATCAATATCATTTTCATTTGCAATAAAGAATTTTGTTCAGGTTCACTACGTCCATAGTTTTAAAATTATGATCCAAGACTCATTGGAGGTGGGTTAGTAACAACGACAAGCTTGGTGGGACACTGTTTTTCTATACTTGCACAAAAGTCATCTTCACTATTACCTCCCAGGAAGATTCTAGAAGAAAAGGTGATGAAGTTATACATGTTTGGAAGTCACAGACATGGTACGCTTTTCTAGATAATAAGAATGGAAAGAGATAACATTTATTGAGAACTTACTCTGTCTTGAACATGATCACCTAATTTAGTCCTTTCAATATCCCTAAGTTACTATTATTTTCTTCATTTTATGTATGAGGAAAACGCAGGCATGGAGGTTGATGCCGGTTGGTTAATTACATTATTTCTGAGATTGGGAAAATGGGAATCTTAGTTAAAACAAAAGGTATATTACCTAAAGGACTAATTTTCTGCAATAACACGATGGTGGCCAAATGACATTTTATCATTCTCTTTCCTTTTCAGAGAACCATTTGTAATGGAGCCTTCACCTCTTGAGCTGCCAGCTGACACAGTGCGACGCATCGCGGCTGAACTCAAATGTCACCCGACAGATGAGAGGGTTGCTCTCCACCTAGACGAGGAAGATAAGCTGAGGCACTTCAAAGAGTATTTTTATATCCCCAAAATGCAGAATCTGCCTCCAAGTAAGAATAATGGGAAGGGTTTTTTTTTGTTTTTTTTTTTTTTGTTTTGTCTTTTTAAAATTAATTTATTTATTTTTGCTACTGCATGTATCATAAATCTTTGAAAAATCATTGTTCCATTACATAATAGAGCCATTATAATTGTGTCTGAAAAACAGCAGGTCTTTGATGGTACTAAATCAACCTGTCATCCTACCTTAGCCTCAGATTCTTTATGTTTCCTCTCCTCCTCTGAATAAAATACTTACAGGGTGCTTATGCTGTCAACTATTTCTCTGAACAATAGAGTGACTGATTGAAAATTATAGGCAGATGCATTTACTTGTTCTCTAAGCACTTGGGACTCAAAGCAATTCTTTTAGAATATAATTTTAGAATATCTTATATTGTGGCACCTAGTTTATGATAGCATGATGTTTACCTTAGAGGGAATATTATTTTATGACCTGGATGTATTAGGAGAGATGTTAGGTAAATAGCTATTTTTTGCATGCTGTGAACAAAGATGGTGTGTATAATAAGAGTTACCATGAAAAGAAACAATTAATGCCTAAGAAATAACTGCATTTTCAAAAATAATACCTACAGTAAGCTGACTCTATTCTTGGATTGGGGAAGTTCTTATTTAATGAGTATAGAGTTTCCATTTTTCAAGGTAGAAAAATTCTAGAGATTGGTTGCACAACAATGTGAATGTACTTAACTGAACTATGTATTAAAAATGGTTAAGATGGTAAATTTTATGTTACATGTATTTTAGCACATTATTTTTAATATTTATTAAAATAAAAAGTTTCCACTTTAAAAAAAAACAGCATTATATGTATAATCACTTCTATTATGCTTGAGTTGACTTAGTATCCTAATTATAGGTATAATATTTGTTTTGATTAGTTATCCAATACAAAGTAACTCTAAGGAATTACAATCTTGGATAAGTCATTGCTGATTCTTAAAGAGAAGTAAAGAGACAGAAAACTAAATTGGTTTAATAGAGAATTTAAGAAATTCATTTGTTTAAAATATAGTTTTGAGTGATGCAAAACTTTACTTCTTTAACCTCAAGAGTTCTTCTAAATCAGTGATTATCAAGGTGTAGAGGTATGAGTTTCACTATGGGACTTAATGGAACTGCAACTTCTTGGGTCTTACCCAGAATTACTGACTCAGAGATGCTGAGGGTGAGGCCCAGTCACCTATTCTAGACCAGCTAGGATGGGATGGTATCATAGAGAGTCGGATCACTTAATTCCCGTTTTCACTATTTCTTTCCAGTCTAGTTGTTTCTTACTTTCTAGGGGTTCATCTATTCAGCAAATATTATTCATTTTCTCTGTTCCAGACACTTTTCTCAGAACAGTTCCATGAACTAAAGAGCAAGATTGTCAAATACTTAAACTTATATCTAGTATGAGGAGACAGATAATAACTAAACTTTCAAACAGCTTAATATATGCTCTACTAGTAGGTACTGCTCCAAGTACTATGAAGATGAGGGTTTTATCTCACCCAAGGTAGTCTGGGAAGCTGATGAGGAGGCATCTGAGCAGAGATGAGAATGAAGTGAGGAAGTGAGCCTCATGGATTTATGGGCGAAGCTGAGCCTCATGGCCATTCAGGTTTGCACTGCACAAAGACACCAACTCAGGAGCACATGGTGTAGCAGGGGCAAAAATGTAATAACTTTTTCCCATCCATTAGAAGGCTCATGGCTGATGCTCTTATAACTAAAGACAGGTTAGCAAGAGAAAAGCATAAGAAATTTATTTAACAAAGTTATATATGGCATGTGAGCCTTTAGAAATGAAGACCCAAGGATCCAGGGAAAACCGTGTCTTTATGCTAAGCCTGATGAAAGAAGTGGATAGTTGTGGAGAAATAGGATTGAACAAAAAGAATGGTGACCTAACGGTAATAAAACAGGAGGAACTCAGCAAGGCTTGTGTTCAGATTCTTCTTAGTCTCTTCATGTAGCATTTCTTCCTTCTCAGTATAGGGCAGGACACCTGTCACATGAAGGTCTACAAGGGAGAAGGAAAAAGGTCAGAGAGTGAGCTTGCTAGGTTTCATGGCTTGCTTTGGGAGAGGAATTCTAGTTTCTTTGACTTTACCTGGCATGAGGGGCAGAGTGCAGTGCTGGAAAAGCTCAGAGAGAACTTGCTTCTGAGGCTCTCTCAACCTCCTTCAGTTCAGAGTACTCGGCATAGCAAGGTGCCATATTTTGGGGTATTTATGTTCCGAGCCCCAACAGTATTGAAATCTTTTTCTTTTTTTTTTTATTTCACAAGATTTGAATTCATCAAGAAACCAATATTTCCTATCTTATTAAAATCTTCCAAGAACATCTAAAAATGATAAAGCATCTGAAGTTATTTTAAGAGACTAGCATAACACCAAGAACAAATGTTCTTTAGCAACTCTGAACGATGAAAAACAAAGAACACAAATAAATAAGTTTTGGGAAAATGAAAGGACCATGACTCTCAACATAGGATTTCTTTTATTTTTTAATCTTAAGGAAAGGCCACAGACACAGCCTGTGGTTTTCTGATATTTTTCTATTAAATATGTTTGTTCTGGGCTTCTCAAAGAAACTTTATTTAAAGATAAGTAAGTTTCCTTCTATTCTGAGATGGTGTCTGAGATGTTATTAGAGAAAAGGGTCAAAAATACTTTTACTCAGCCGGTGTTCTTATGCTCAACGTTGTTCTCAAGATCATAGCCAAAAAATAAGACACAAACAAGAAAGAGGGAAGGTGGGGAGGGAGAGAGAGGAAAAGAGATAAAAAGAAAAGGGAAATGCAAGGCATACCTATGGGAAAGGACCTTTCTAAATTGTTTGAAATTGTAAATATTCCTGTTTGAAACATCTTTATACTTAAACCTCTGAGAGCATACTGGATAGCCCCATAAGATATATTACTTTTGCAGACACAAGACAAACTTTTTCAGGACATTGTATCAGAGTGACAAAATGCCATTTCAGAAACCAGTGGTGTGAATTTACATTCCCTCCAAAAGTAAAGGTGGTTCCCTCACTGACTTTGGGTATTAGCAGTAAAATCTTTGCTCAGTGGATAATCAAAAATTGTTCCTTTCTTGTTTGAATTTGCAGGTCTTGGACTAGTAATGGATTTTTTTTCTTCTATAAATTCCGAGGCTATTGCTTTTCTTTTTCATTTCCTCTTAATGTATAAATTTATCACTTCTATTTATTTTATTTTTAAATTGATTTTTGCTGTTTTAAAATCTTAAGAATATCAACTCTTTGACATCTGTGGAATTTCAAGTGAAAATGTCCCGTCCACATAGCTGACCAATAGCAGAACCAGAAATGGATTCCAAATATTGTGGCTACTGGCCCAGTTCTCTTGACTCAATTCTGCTGTGACTTTTTAAAATTACCCTGTTGAAACTCAACTTATATACCATAAAATTCACCCATTTTAAGTGTATAATTTAATAATTTTTAGTGAATATATGGTTACACAGCAATCATAACCCAATTTTAGAACATTTCTTCTTTCCCCTTTCCTACCCCCTAGCCCAAGGCAACGGGTGATCTATTGAACATGTCATTATTTTGCTCTATGTAGATCATTAACTCAAAGAATATCTTTATTAGCAAGCTCTACTTGGAGAATATTTTTTTTAAAGTGTTCCTGTCACTGCTCCTTTCTTAGTCAAATATTTCCCTCCTTCAATCTTATCACACATTCAGAAGACAAATTAGTACATTGCCATTCAGCTTCCGTAAGCTAAGTAGTCATAAAGTTAAAGCTATCCAAACAAGACCTACTATTACTTTGCCTATGTAATTATTTGGCCTCAGATACAATTGGCATAGCAAAGCTGTCATGCTTAAGTTTGTCTCTGAGGGTTTCATATAACATAATAGATCCTCTTGAGCTCAACTATTGTCAGGCTTAGAAAACTGACAGGTAGGAGGTATCAGTGCATGAAACAGGGAAAAGTATACTTTTCTCTATAAACTAGAATCCTTTATTTAACAACAGGTAACACTATGTTAAATAAAAGTTTTACCCAGCTATAAGAGGACACATATTTATGACTGTGATTTTAAGAATCTGACTTAAATATCTCATTTCCATAAGAAAAATAATTAAGAAGAGTATTTCTTAAAGGTTTAATTTTAAAGACATTGTAAACTACTTAGTTGAATTCTGCATTTTAGTGAACTTACTTGTAATTTTGTCTTTTCTTTTGTGTTAGACTCTGTGCTCCCTGAGCTCGGGGACTGTTTTATTTCTCTGTGAATGAGTGGGGGTCACCTAGGCAAACCTTAGGGTGGAGGCAACCAATGAGGTCTTATCACTGAGAAAGAAGAGTATTCGCAAAGACACAAGCTGAAGAAAACATACTTGTTTTGATCTCTAAGAATAATTTGACATGATCAGAGTATATCAGATAAATAGTACAGATAAATAGTAAATAGTAGGGTATGGAACAGGGCAATAGGATAATTGGTGGAATAGAATACATATGAAATAAGTGGGTGTGGGTAACTAGCAATAAGGCTGAAGAAGTAAATGTAATGGAGCTGTAGAAAAGGGAAGAGATTCAAGAAATATTTGAAATACTCATTAAATAAACCTGATTTAATAGTAGAAGAAACATACCATGAGCCACACTTTCTGGTTTAGGTAAATAGTGGTGATATTCATTGATATTATCAACTTGTTTTGGTAACTGTTCATTTAAAAAGAATCTAGTTTTGTAATTTTCCTCTCTTGTTGCTCTGCTATCTGTGGCCTTGACCTCAGGGTCCAAGGTGGCAGCTGTATGTCAAGCAGTGGGAAGCAGGTAGGGACAAAGAAGACATGTATGCTCTCCCTTGAGGAAGGTTTCAGAGGTTGCCTCCTAACATGTCCATCTAAGCCCCACAGCCAGTGTTGGGTCATGGCCCCGCCTATCTGCAAAGAAGACTGAGTGTAAAACATAGTTTTTATTCTTGCTAGCTGCATGCAAAGCTAACAATT